GTAAACATTATTGATCCGCTTTCCCTGCAAAATAGTATTATTATTTAAGCTTATAATACAGGTATTTAGCAAGAATTTTATGATGAAGCCTTTATCGCAAAGCTGACTGATGCTGAGCAAGTTATCTTTTTGTCCATCTACAAGAAAAACATTTTCAATCAAAAGATTTTTAGAGTTTCTGATTATACTTGCACCCACTACTTTCATGGTGGTGTTATCTCCAAGAGTAACCTTGCCTCCAGCCCTGGCCTCCAGCGAAATGAATTGATTAGCATCTCCAGTTATATGTCGTGAGCATCCGATGTCTAGGTACCACATGCTCTCACGAGGCCTTTTGTGAGAGCAAGCCTATAAAATCATTAAATGTCAGATTTAGGAACCCAAACATGTTATGGTCCCTTCTTATGAAAAGAAGAATATAATGCATGTATGTTATGCTGTGAATCATATAATTTGAGTCTCCTCACCCAATTTGTACTATATTGAATAGTGCACATGTGTGAAATGTGTCCTAACATGCCACATGAAAAATATCTAATACCAGGAAAATGATTTACTAATCTATTTGGGTAGTAATATTTTCTTTTAAAGTTATGTGATGCATGCAATATTGGATTGTTATTTTCAAAAGCTTTGAGATTTTTTAATTTCTTAAACTCTTTTTTTAACTCAGCATGAGATGACTTTAAGGAATCATGTGCATCAGATAATTCAGTATGCTTTTGATTTAATGCATCAAATTCATCAAGTAATGACATGATTTTTATCGATTGTAGAATGATCTTTAAGTAAAATTTCATGCTCTTTTTTCAAATTTAAAAACTCTAATTTCAAACTAACATGTGATTTCTTAAGTTTCCTATATGATGCATGAATTTGTTCAGAAACTTCAAGTAATTGTTTGTAGGTTAGTTCACATACTTCTTCTTGGTCAAACTGACCAAGATGTTATCCGCCATCAAGCACAAGTTTGTAGTCTCCTCTTCAGCTTCAGTCTCAGAGGAGCCTGATGCTGAATCTGCCTAGAATGCCTTTTAAAATCTCTTCTTATCCTTTTAAAACTTTGGTTTATTCTCACCCTTCTCCTTGCTTGAGTTAGCTTTAAGTGTAGGACAATAAGCTTTAACGTATCTCGACTTCCTGCATTCAAAGCAGATCATATCATTAGAATTCTTAAAATTTTTACTGCCCTTATCTTTATTCCACTTCTAATGGTTCTTATGCTTCTTCCTTAGAAAGCTTTTGAATTGCCTCGTAATGAAGGCAACATCACCATTTTCAGACACGAAAGAATCAGTGTCCATATTGTTTACCTTCAGTGCCACAATTTTCTCCTTCTTTTTCTCAGATGTATCAAGATTTATTTGATTCACCCCTTGCTCATAAACAATGAGTGATCCAAGTAAATTATTAATAGAATAAGTATTTAAATCTTTAGATTAAGCAATTGGAGTGATTTTAGCATAAAAAAGAAGATAATCATCTCAAAATTTTATTTATTTTTTCATAATTAGTTAGCTCTCTTCTTAAAGTATACAATGAGATGAAAATTTGAATAATCATAATTTTTAGATTTCAAAGCATAGAAAAAATAATTCAAACATTTCACATTAAGTTGTGCTAAATCTCTTTCACCAAAAGTCCATTCAGTAAAAAAAAGATTAGTTTTAATGCCAATAATTTTATGAGAAGGAGGTGTATAACCATCCTTAATAAGCATCCACATACAATAGTCAATCGATTGTAAAAAAGTAGACATACGAGTTTTCCAAAAATAAAAAAGAAATATTATCAAATAAAGGTGGTTGGGTAATAGAATACCCTTTCACAGAATTATGATTACCGGAGTTAGCCATGGATCGAAATTCAAAAGTTTTTTAAAACTCAATTTTATGAATCCCGCTTTGATACCACTTGAAAGATCATTAAGAATATTAAGGCCTTATGAACTAGCCCAAGATAACCAAGAGGGGGGGGGGGTGAATTAGTATTTTAAAAAATCTTTCAATAAAAAAACAAAAACTCAATCAAATCAAAATTCACCATAAAGAAATTTTAATGTGTCGAAATTAAATGAAGAAAAAGCAATAGTAAAGGACACAGAAATTTATAGTGATTCGGTCAACTTGACCTACGTCCACTACCTAGAGGCGCCCGCTGAGTATTACACTAAACTCAGTGACTCTCCTTTTTCTCTCACAGCAAGGCAGAGAAGCCTGTACAAAACCACCTTTCCACCGACACCGGTGAGGCAGAGAACCCAACTCCTGCTTCCTCCTGAAGCAGGTAGAACCTTGATCGATTGCTAAAGTGGACCTCTCTCAAACCTCCAAGAATAAGGGATGACGATCAAAGAAGACGTTTTGGATCCTTGCTTGGAGCAACCTTTGTGAAACCCCTCACAAACTCCCCTTTAAAGATCCACTCTCTCTCTCTCTCTCTCTCTCTCTCTCTCTCTCTCTCTCTCTCTCCCTTTCTCTCCCTCTCCTCTAGGCTCACATAGGTCAAGATAGCAATAAAAGATGATCACTTGGGTAGAACAAGAGCTCTTAAATAGAAGTGTTTGGAATAGCTCCTAATTTAAATAAACTGACTTTATTGTTCAGGATGATATAAATATCATCCTGGACGATCAGCTTAAATTTATCTTAATCAGCCCGAACGATTTGGGACAATCATAAGTTTTTTGTTCATATTGTCCAAGATGATAATATATCATCCTGTATGATTAGCACAAGTTGTTAAATCTCGTCCAGATAATCGCACTAAATGGATGTCTTGACGATGGAAAAATAGTTTGATCATCCAGGATGATCTCACGATCGTCCTGGATGATTAGTTCAAACCCGTAAAAATTTTCCAAACCATCACCCTGAATAGAAGGAGGCTGATGTTGATCGACCAGGAATAACTAAAGTTTTTCTGAATTGATCGTCCCGACCAATCCTGTGATCATCTAGGACGATTTAATCCAGCAATCAAACCTTAATTATTTTCCTTAATAACCAGATTAATTTAGGTATAATTATGTTTCATTATCTAATATGATATCCTGGACGATGTACAAAAATAAATAATACCTAAATAGATCGGGCGTCTGATTCTTTCTGATTTAAGTTTATCATCCCGGCCGATATAAATATCATCTAAGACGATGCGCTTAATAACAGCTACCTTAACCAGGAAGCCCTAATTATGGTTTCTATTTTTAACAAATCATCCAGGTCAATTTGTGGATCATCCCGGATGATGTGACAAAAAACAGAGAACTCTAAAAACAGACATAAAATTTTTCTCATTTGTGTGTGCAAGGTTACTTAGCATCATGAACAACATCATTTACAATAGACTCAAGAAAGGGAAAAGTTTACAAACTGACTCAGACCTAGTTTACCAAATCTTGTGCTGGTTCAAATTACAGTTTGTTCTTGTAGACCTGAAATGTTACCAGGGAAGGCAGTCGTAGAGAAACAGAAGTGTTTGCTATCATCAAAATTATACTCCATGAAAGCATATTTGCAACGCTTTTCTTATCATACAATATTTATCTATTTCTTCTAGGTGTATCATTTCCTTTAGCTCTCATACTTTATAAACAAGAGGTTAATAAACATATTTTAGACTAAATATATTTTTAATATTCATAGAGGTCAGTATATTTTCTATTGTTGTTCAAGAAAATATTGTGTGGGTGTTTAGATTGTAGAGGCAGATCTACCTTTTTAGAAGAATTTTCTAAGAGGGGAGTGTTGTTCCCCGTCTTCAATTAAGGACTAAAATTCTTCAATTAGGGAATGAAATTCTGGAATTAGTTTACTAGAAGCTTTCTCCTAAACAGGTTAGCATAACCCTGGACGTTAATTTTGAGATATGGAACATTTTTTTTATTGTATCTTGAAGAATCTTGGAGAAACCGCTGATGCGATTTCTTCAGCATTTCAAAGGTTTGAGAGATCAGATATTATAGTTGATTATGAGGATTATCTTCCTCCAATAATTATCAGATATGAGGATTATTCTCTTGTTCTTGTGTTGGAATACCCAATTGGCAAGAACTTGACTGGAGTAAGGAAATTTGTGGAAATTTCTTTTGGGAGGTTCAATATAGGCATTGTTGAAGTCATTTATGTTTTTAAGTTTGGTTATGATTCCTTTGTAATGATAAATGGCAACTCTGTTATAGGGAAGGATGATCTTTGTGTTAATGTTTCTTTTGTTGGAGGTTTTGTTAGAGTGAATTCATCTACTTGTAAGGGAGTAGAGGTTATGTTTCTTGCGGATTCATTTCTGACTGCCGGTGTTATTGCTGTTAGTTGGCAGCCTTTGATTGGATAATCCATGGAAGATAGTTTGGGCCTTCCCAGATGTTCTGGTAATGGCATGAAGTGGGATCCCATCCCATCTATGCTAATGGTTTGTTAGTGTTTTGTTCTTTGATGTTCAAGGCTTTCTTGTTGAAGGATGGAAAGGTGTGGAGGCATCAGGTATAGGAGCTTTAGAAGCTGTGAAGTTTCAGTGTCGTAATATGGTTGAAGAATTATATTTTTAGGTCAATGTTGTCTTTTTGGATAGATGTTCTTTTAGCAAGGTTTTATTAGCTATGGGGATGGCTGATTTTCTATGCATGGAGCTCAAGCTCCTAAAGGCTATTGAAGACTTATCTAGGATAAGTGGTTATGTGACGATAGGGAAAAATATCCCCATCTTAATGCAATTTGTATTTCCTCAAAAAAAAAAAAAAAAAAACCTCTCTAATTTTAGCTACATTATTGCTATTTTTATTTTTTTAAAGATTTTTAAGCCCCGTTGTTTTGCTTGTCTTAAATGCTGCTTAGTTTATATTTTAACGTTTAAATATAATTTCTCTTTTCTATATTATACGCTCATTATAATTAATTTTATATAGCCCAAAATCTTCCGGTAAAGAAGTCTCGTTTTCAGTTTGCATCACCCGCAAAGATATGCCCAAACTTCAATCCCCAATTAGGTCGTCGATAACATATCGAACAGCTCATCGCAGCGCTACCCCACAGGCATCATTCAACTTACACGTATTCTCAATACGAAGACACCTATACTGTATAGAATGAAAAAAAAAAAAAAGATAATTGTTAGTTCTTTCATATTTCAAGAGCATCGGTTGGTTTTTATTTTTCTTGGATTTGCGAAAGAATTGTGGAAGTGAAGTGCTTTGCATGTGAGGCAAGTATTCTCATCAGAGGCAGTAATTGCATCTCCCCCCTTCGTTTTTTTTTTATTTTTCCATTTTGATAGTGAATTGTTATTAGGGCTAAGGTACTGTAGAACTTTCGTTGTACTTGAATTTCTAAACGAATTCCTGATTTAAATTCTCCATCTAATATAATGTTTGCGTACTCCAATAATTAGTGCATTTAGGACGAGGGCGTTTTGTTTTGCGCATTGATTCTAATGTAGACAAGAAATGTTTTGTGCGCTTCTTCTTCTAGCGAGTTCTGTGGACTATTTCTTCGGCTTTTTCGGAGGATCTGGACAGACATTTTTTTTCTCCTAAGAAGTCTGAGAAGAAGGGTGTTTCGAATTTCGAGGGTATTTTATTTACGGAAGAGAGGCTCCAAAAGACCCCATTATGAAAAGTGGGTCTTTGAAGCTCTTGGACATATGGCAAAATAAATCCCATTGCAACTTTGGTCGTCTTTGATTGGGTTATGGAGCTTACTCAGCTTTAGCTTCTATAAGGAGCCTGACAAATTCTGGTAGATATATGAAGCTTATTCAACCCCGATATGGAGCCTACTCGACTATAACAGTTGTGTGTAGCCTATTAAATTTCGATGGTAGTGTGAGTCTGTCCCACAGATGGGTGCATGAAGCCTTCTAAATTTTATAGATATATAAACAGCCCAACTACTATAAGAAGTTTACGAATTTCCAAAAAGTATTAGGTGCCTCCCGACTTTGATGGTTATATGAAGTCTACTCTATGGAACCTTCCCAACTACGTTAGTGATTGTAGCCTACCCTGTTTTAGTTGTTGTATAGCCCCAAAGGGTATGTGTAGTCTACCAAAATCCAACAAATTAATGGAGCTTAAAAACTTTCCGGAGTTTATGGAATCTACCCTACTCCATCCTCCTAAATCATTAAGTTTGAATGGATTATGATCTAAGGGGATTTGACCCAATCTACAATATCTTAAGGGAAGTTTATATTTGTCCCACCGAGATATCGTTATAGGATTTGACACATAGCACGTCCCATATGTTCATAGAAATTCCTAGTTGACATCTAAAAAGAGAAGCTATTGATGCATCCCATTAAATGTTCCAAGGAGATTGAAATTTAAAATGACTTCGTCTCAACCTTACTATTCAATAGGTGATGATATAGCTCGAACATACAAATGCCCTCTCTTCAACATGCAGTCATGTGGCTCTAACATTTAATAGTGGGCTCTTGTGGAATCTTGCCAATCGAAGTCTATAGACCAATATGGCTAAGAATACAATAGAAGAAAAATGGTGGAATGTGGTTTGGGTCCCCACAAGATTCTCTCATCAAATCATAGTGAAGTTATGGTAACAAAGAGTTAACTTAAAATATAGTTTATTAGGTTCTTCTTTTGACAAGCTTAACTTTCTCCATAAAAAATGCAACAATAACTGATGGGGACATCAGATCATCATGGAAAGTTTACCAGCGACGTGGCCGCCGATCTACGACCACGATCGAGTCTTTATATTTTTGAGTCGATGTATTTTATTTTGATGCATTTTATCATAAATTTTATCATTTGCTTATGTGTGTTTTATTATTTTCCGTTGTACCCTTTTTTTATGTGAGTTGTCATGTGTAAGCCTAAGGGCATTTGTGTCATGTTATTTGGAGTCATTGTATGAGGCTATTTAAAGCCCCTTTGTATTATTTTGAAGCTAATGAATGATTATTAGAGAATTTTGTTTTCTTGCATTGGAGCATTGTGAGAACTTGGGAGTTCTAGTGGAGAGAGCTTCCTCGGAGAGCAAGGAGATAGCGCAATACCCACCAACTTAGATAAGTCGGGTTCGTGGTTCTTTCTTGATCCCCCCTTCACTCTTCTCCTATCTCCTACCCGCTGGCTTCCTTCACCTCACCCGACCACCCCCCTCCCCACCTGGACCTCACGGTCCAGCACCTCCACCCGATCTCCAGTGCCGCCGGCCTTGACCCCAAACGCCGGCCCCCATCTCCAGTGCTCATTTTATTGGGTTTCCTAATTTGGGTTAGCCTTAATTGGGATTGATTTGAATTTCAATTTCATTCAAAGTTGAATTCAAATTATTTCCTAAATTGAGTCAATCTATTTTAGGGAAGTATTAATTTTAAATCCAAGGGAATTTCAAATTCAAGAGGATTTAAAAGAACTCTTTCCTAATTCTAAAATCCCAATTTAAGAATCCTTAATTGCTCCCCTCAAATCCCTCCCCAATCCATGGGCCCGCCGGCCATGCAAGATTAGCCGCCGGCCCCACTTCTCTTTCCATCACTTGGATTTTCCTAAATTTAAATCAAATCTGATTTAATTTCAAAGTTCAAAACCTTTCCTAATCCTCATGAATTATTTAGGGAAAGTTTCCAATCCTAGACTCAATTTAATTTCAAAATTAAATTGAATCGTTTAAACCCTTTCTTAATTCATTCACCCAAAGATAGAAGCTTGAACCTCCTCTTAATTTGTTTCTACAAATCCCTGAAGCTCTCGGCACCTACCCCGTACCCGCCCAACTCCTCACTAGCTCTCTTTCAATTGGTCTGCTCTTCCTGAAGGAGAAATCTGAAAAATTCTTTCAGATTTTTGGGTGGTTAGGTCCACTCTTCTTGCAAGACCATAGAGAAACTTCTTTCTCTTTGGTTGCTTTGGCAAAGTACCCCCTCATTCTAAGAGTTGATCTTCAAACATCCATGAAAGGCGGACCCTGAGACTGAGTACGGTATCACGTGGGACGACGACGGCTACACCGACATTTTCCGTTCTACATTCTTCGACGTGAACCCGGAGATCGACCATACAATCGAAGAATACGTAGATCGTATTTTGTTCCAATTAACGGAAGCCATTGAAGAGCACTTTGAAGGACTTGAGTGGAGGATCTCAAAGTCTTCTTGACGAAAGGTCTCTTTGTCTCTCTACTTATTTTCAAATTATTCTAACTCCAAATTCTCACTTGGTTAAGATTGTAATCTCTAAAAACTACTCCGAATGCTCTCGCCAAAGCTTAGTAAATCATAGGAATTGAGTGTGCTTTCTATGCATCCTAGATCTCATTGTTAGATTAGGGATTACATTGGAAACCACTATTCTGTGTTGTTGTTATTTTCTTAAGTCTTCTTGAATGTTCAAAATTTGGTGCATGTAATTTATCCTATGCAATATTAACTTCCTCTTTGTTTGACTCGCCGTGGACAATTGTAAGTAATTTAATCCGAATTATTTTAATCAACGAGTTGTGCAAAGCCTAAGTGAGGATCATAACATTGCATCTAAGTAGTCCTGCATCAATAACCCTACTCAAATATATTTAGAAGGGTTATATTTTTGGACTTAAATAAATGTTCAAAAATAAGGGCCTACTATTGGGCCCATAAAAAATATCAAGATTACTTGAATCCCTAAGCTATAACAAATCTTATGGTTGACTATAGCATCCCGACATGCTTAAGACAACCCTATAATGGTTATAATGAATTAGATCGAGTCATAGTGATCTAGCCTTGGGAAAGGATGATTCAAGGACTCCAGTTTCTATAATAGGATTCCTTTTATGTTCTAATACTCATTAGAATATTGTGTGAGGGTTTCTTTAGGTGTTGTAAACTAAGGGAGCTAGGCTAATGGTGGAAGGCAGCTGAAACTCAAGAGCATCTCCCTTGGGATTCAAGGGTTAGGGTTTGGAATGGGGAAGGATCTAGGGTATGAAATTACTTGGAAGGGTTAGGGCAATGTTAGGAGATATGTTCTGGGGTATTTGTGGGAATCCAAAAGCTTTGGGGGTGTGGAAGTGCAAAGAAATCAAGACTAGATCTAGGAAAATATAGTTTGGCCAATTTGACTAGTTTGATCTTATTGTGTTAAATGATGAGGCTAAGGACATATGGCGGGTTTTTGATGCCTTGGGATTGTTAGATGGGTGTGTATAGATCAGATCTTGAGTAGTGGTGTAGATCTAATAGTTTTATAGGATAATGGAGGGGAGAGGACCGAAACTAGGTCACTTGGAACCCTTCCATGGCCCATTATCCTTAGTTATGGTTTCCACTTTGTGTTGTGGTTGTAATGGCTAGAGAAGGGTGTGAAAAGGTTGGAGATATATAGTGTGAGCGGGTAAGAGATTAAAAGAGAAATAAACAAGTGTAAAAAGAAAATACCTAGTTTTCTCTCCAAGGAGATGCCATCACTAAGATCTAACTCTAACTCTTTAGAGTCAATTCTTTAAAATTTTTAAAAACACCAAGACATATTTTTCATTCATTCTCGCAAATATTTAAAGCATCATATCAATTATAAAGTTCAAAATTCAAAAACCTAATAAAAGCAGGAAAATTGAAAACTAGCTTGGCCAAAATAACAATGGTGTGGAATTGGGGTGTGAGTGAAGCTAACTCGTTAGCTGACTCAAGCTCGATTTGATAAATAGCTCATGAGCCAAGCTCAATCAGCTAACGAGCCAATTTTGAGCCAGCCTTGACTCGATTCGTTATTTTGTGAGCCATCTCATTTAAAAAATATTATTATATAATACATTTAAAATATTCGAGCATTCAAGATTTTAAGTATAAAGTTGTTAAATATATTTAAAAATTATATTTCACTTGTATTAAGTCATTTTTTATTATATTTCTTATAATTTTTCATTTTTTTACCAATTTGTTGTAATAGTATTTTGAATCATAACATTTATCTTCTTCATGATAAATAAGTTGCCTCGTGCTTAAACTCGCAAAATAAAGCTCGAGCTCGAACTCGATTTATTAATTAAGCTCAAATGCAAGCTAGGGGTGAGTCAAGCTCGGTCGACTCGTTTATGCCCCTAGTGTGTAGTCACCCCAATTTTTCTTCTATCAAGGAGTGGCTAGCCATGATGAAAGCTAATTAAAAGGGGGAGAATGTGATTTGAAAATCATCCATATAGAGAGAATGAATTAATTGTTGAATATTCAATACTTTAAATTTTGAATTATATCATTAATCATTATTATAATTTATATAATTTCCTTTATAGAGGGAAAGAATGAAAAAAAAGGAAATTTAAATTTTAAATTTCAAAATTTTAATTTTGTACTTTAACCATTATTCCACTTTATTTTGTTCTATACTAAGACTTTTTCCTCATCTTAGTTGATGTTGGTCTCTTGGCCACATTAATTCCATCTTGCATCTTGAGCTCTTGATCTTGATCTTGTGATGAAGCCATGATACTATTATTTCTATAATAGATTCTTTATCCTCATGTAGTGATAAGTCCATCATGATGTTCTACTTGATGTTCTGCATCAACTCTCCCCCACTTGAAAAATATGCTTCTATAAAGTTGATGTAGCAAGCTCAAGGTACACCAAGTTCCAAATTATCTTCTCTAAGTTTATGTAAGGTGGTGGAGTATATATGGGTGGAGGTGGTCCTCCAAATAGTAACACCTACAGAAGTAGTTTTATATACTTCACCAAAGAGTTAGCTCACCAATAATCATGCTCAATAATTTGTTTAGTCGGTAGCAAATTAGATGCAGTAAAAAGATAATTTAAATATAGTATAAAAGACAAGTTTGGATTATGATCATGTAGTTTAATGTCTCTAGTTTGTATGTAATTATCACATATTGTATGGTAGGGCACATGAATATGGGATAAATTATACATACTGCTGGTATGCTCATATGATGGATAAGTTTGGAACATAACAGGAACATGTTCATTATCACTCATGTCAACTAAGCGTAATAAATTTGCATGGAGATTAAGAAAGTGAGATGTTAGTGTTAATTCAACCTCATGCAAATGATGATAAGTCAGGCTATGTTGTACCAAATATAATCCATATACTGTGATAGAGGAAGTCCTATGGTTAGTCAAAGGATGATCATCTAGACGAAATGAGTTAGAATTCTACTTTTTAATTGGATTAATGCATATAATAGGTTGTGTGTTTAAGTACACAATAGGTTTGTGTACTTCATGGGTCATAGATATGATATCCTATCTTGGGAGGAGATGGTCATCAGATTTAAAGTCAAGAATTGTGTCAGATTAAAAGCACTCATTCTCTAGTGTGTGACGAAGTTAGTGTTGTATCAGATATGAGGTGAACTAATGACATTAAAAATAAATTATTAGTTGGTATGTCAATGAATGGCTCAAATGCTGCATCTTTTGGTGCATCTTCATAGATTGCTATGGTTGGTGCATCATAATTATGTAACTGGGATGGTAATTTAGATATAATAGAAGTGCTATATAATGTCTGTACAATAGGGAGTGGTCACTAGCTGTCAGTTAAGATTGCTAACATAATGATTTGATTTAAAGTACTTGAGTGTTTTACCATTATTTTTAAATACATAGAAGTTCTCAGGTTCATTATAGGATGCATTTGTTTTATCAAAGGTTTACCTAAAAGAAACATGATTCCCAACCATATTAATGATATCACACAATATATGATCGTTGTAGCTACCCAATTTAATGGGAGATAGCCACTAAGATGTCACATTATGGGATGTCTCATTATTCCAACTAATTTTGGAATGGTAGGGAAAGAGTCAAGTTCTTATGTTGAACTCTTTTGGTTGTTAGGAGTAATATAAGATTTATTTTGCTATTCTTATACATAGCCATCTACTTTTATTTTTCATTATAAATTGTTTGGATTAAGAATTTTGTATCTTATTTGCAGTCTATTGCTTTATAAGCTTTTCTATATTATTATTGGTTGGACCTGATGATATCCTAGTAGAGGTATGAAAATGCTTAGGAGATCAATAAATTTCCTTGCTTTCTAAACTTTTTTATATTATTTTTAAGATTGAAAATATGTCCAATGACTAGAGGAGTGTTGATTCTTATTTTTAAGAGTAAAGGTGATGCACATGAGTGTGCAAATTACAAAGGAATTATATTAATGTGCCATACATTAAAATTATGAGAGAGAATAATTGTGCATAGGTTAAGAAGTGATACTAATGTTTCTCAAAATCAGTTGGATTCATGCCGGGTGGGTCTAGAAAGCATATGATAAAGATCCAAGAGAAGTGTTTTGGAGAGTTATAGAAAAGAAATGAGTTAATAATGTTTATGCTTAAGTCATTAACGATATGTATACATGAGTTGGTACTTGCGTTCAAGCACAATGTGACCAAGTGTTTTTCTATTTCAAATGGATTATATCAAGGATCATCTTTAAGCTCGTATCTTTTTGCTTGCTTTAGTCATGAATGTTCTTATTAGACATTTGGAAGAGGATGTACCCTGACATACTGATGATATTCTTCTTATTGAGACTAGAGAGGGAGTTGATGGAAAACTATTATGGCGACCTTAGAGTTTAAAGATTTTTGTTTGAGTAGATCTAAAATTAAATATATAAAGTGTAATTTAAGTAGTAATGGATCTAGTAGTGAGATTGTGACATTGAGTGATTGAGTTGTTAAAAAGAGTGCACGTTTTAGGTAATCGGGTCTATTATTCAAAACGATGGTGAAATAGATTTGTATATTATTAGTAGCATTCAAGTTAGATGGTTGAAGTGGAGGAGTGCATCGGGCCTATTGTGTGATAGAAAAGTATCACAAACTTAAGGGAGAATTTTATGAGGTATCACAAACTTAAGGGAGAATTTTATGAGATGGTGGTGAGACCTGCAATACTTTATGACATAGAATATGGATCATTAAAAGAGAAGCACAAAATTAAGATACAGTGTTGTAGAGATGAGGATTCTCAGGTGGATGAGTGGCTTTATACTTAGAGATAGAAATCAAAACTAATACATATGTGAAAAGGTTGGAGTAGCTCCAGTGGCAAATAAGATTAGAAGGAATCACCTTAGATGGTTTGGTCACATAAAGCATTAACCTTTCAATGGCATGCTTAGGAGAGTATATATATTAAATCTGGCCTATATTAAGAAAGGTATAAGTACATATAAAAAGGCTTGGTTAGAAATTATTAAAAATGAATTTTTTATAGATTGACATGAGACTTTGACTCTTAATAGGACCCAATAAAGAATAAAAAAATGATTCATGTAGCCAACCCCATATAGTGGGATACTGGCTTGAAATTATTTTAAGTTATTGTAGTAAGTGATAGAGATAAATAAAAATACAAAGAGTAAAAATGAAGTGCAAATCGATTTATCATGTTTTGGCCATGAATCAGCTTATATCCACTCATTTAGTCCTCAAATTTTGCACTTTTTTCTCCTTCATTAATATAAGGTAGCGAGGCCTCTCCTTAATGGGCAAGGGAGAAACCCACAATACTTCTACTTGAAAGTGAAAAGCATGCTACTGCTAGTATAATTAATTAGGTAATCAACATTCACTTCAAGGTGTGAAACTAGCCACTCCTAGCACAACTCGCTAGATAGTCGTAAACCTTTACGAGATTACTTTTGAAAACCAAGGAATAATTTTAAAATAGAAAACATAAGGTACAATATGATTAGTTCAAAATTTGAAAATTATAATTAATGTTAATTGATTCTATTCATTTAATACAAAAGTAAGGAACATAATATATTATGATACATTTCGTTCCATATGATCCTAATATCAATTTTCATTAATCATATAATTATTTATTTAATTAATCTATTGATTTCTTGGAACTTAAATCAGCCCTAATCTTATAGTACGGTTGCTGATTTAACATTACAACTAGTTTCAATTTTTTAAAATATTCTTTTGCTTGATATAATTAGTTTTTAATTTTAATCGTATACATATGTAAGTCATCTTAACATTCCAAATACTTAAAAATACAATATTTAATAACTAAAAATAAATACAACATTTTTGCACTTAAGGTTGATCTTCTTGGCAGTCACGGTAACATAAGCTAATTGGGCCACCTTCTTCACATTAATCATAAATATGCTGCATGATGTATTTTAATTCGTGATTTACATATTTATGTTTGACTTGAAGTAGTTTGGCTCATATTGTTTTTTACATATTTAAGTTTGACTTGAAGTAGTTTGGCTCATATTGTTTTCTGCACAGTGAATGTCCACATTAGTTAAGTTTATTGTGTATTACCTTATCTTCAATGGATATTACTCCTATTGGCTTTCTAAGTAATCATTTCCAAATCTCATTTTATTTCTAATTTTAACACCAACCATTTAATAACATTTAATATTCTCATTTCTATCAAACTCAATTTAGCTATCAATGATTTATTTTGTTGTCATGATTATTCGATAAGTTTTATGCTGGTTGCCGACTACCTAATGAAACCCTTCATTTTTTTTATCCAGTGCTTGGGACCTGACAACGACTGTATTGCAAGAGGATGTACCATGGTGTATGCTTTTTATTGATAATTTTCTTCTTGTTGATAAGACGAGGAGTTGAAGGATAATTTGAATTATGGAGGTCAACCTTAGAGTCTAAAGGTTTTCATTTGAGTAGATTTAAAACCAAATACATGTAGCGTAATTTTAGTACTAACAGATCTAGTGGGGCATTATGAGTTTGGCAATCAAGTCATTAAAAGTACACATTTTAGATATTGTCTATTGTTTAAAGTGATGGTGAAATAAATGGGAATATTATTAGTAGAATTCAAGTTGCATGGTTGAAGTGGAGGAATGCATCAGGCCTATTGTGTGATAGAGAAGTACCCCTCAAACTAAAGGAAAAATTCTATAAGATGATAGTGAGACCTGTAATGCTTTATGATGAAGAATGTTGGCCTTTAAAAGAGAAGCATAAAATTAAGTTAGCTGTCACAGAGATGAGGATGCTTAGGTGGATGAGTGACTTCACTCTTTGGGATAAAATGCGAAACAAGTATATTTGTGAAAAGGTTGGAGCAGCTCTATTGGCATATATGATTAGAGAAAGTTGCTTTAGATGGTTTGGTTGCATAAAACGTCGGCCTTCTGATGTTGACCTCTGTATAATACCCAAAAGAGATGAAAATGAAATGCATACCTGAGCGAATCCCGCAAATATCGCTGAAATTCTACAAATCCTGCTCAAATCGCGCCATATCACTGTACATCCGGCGCCGTTCTGGGATTTCTGCGAAAATCCTGCGACCGTTGTTCAAAACGACGCTACTCCTCGTCGTTAAATAAGAGAGGAAGAGACCTCCATTCGGCTGCCCTCTCCCATGATGCTCTCTGGCTTCCCTCTTCTCACACACGATCTCTTCTCCCACCATCTAAGCTTATCAGAGCCTCTGATCTGTTAACCTCTGCATAAATGAAACAAGAGGAAAAGAAACCATGAATCCAGCATACATACATCGCATACCTGTTGGATCCACGAAACCGTGCAGAAATCCCGCACCTCTGACTGTCGAACCCGCAAAATTCGCAAGAAATCCTGCCGAGGCACTGTAGATTCAGCGCTGTTCCGGGAATTGCTCGCCTCGATCGCGCTCTCGTGGACGTCGTTAAATACCGCGACCAAACTCCTCTCTACGCGGCTCTTCCCAATCTCCTCCTGCTTCCGACTCCTGCTCATGATCCCGCTCCCGATATCTCCTCCTCCGGTCGAGACAGAGAAACAGAGAGAGAGAGAGAGAGAGAGAGAGAGAGAGGGAGGAACAAGCCTCTGGCCGACTCCTCTTTCGCCGTCCAACTTCGCTCCAACGACGGCTCTCCCTTCCTGTCACGATCGGAAGTTACGACATTTTGATCGGAACCCGCAAGGGAAGCCCGCGTGAAGATAACTTCCTCCAGTCGCGTGCTTCTTCGGCGTTGTCATTGCCGTCCGACCCCGCTCTTTCGTCGACGTTCCCTTCTTGTTTGATCGGAGCCGGCGACAGAAGCTCGCCGCCGTGGAAGGTAACTTTCTCCCTCTCACGCGCGTCCATGCCCGAATCCCGCAAATCTGTCGAGCCAAGGGATTTTTCTTAATTTTATTATTATTATTATTTTTTATTATTCTATTATTATAAATAATCTAATTATAATTATATTAATTAAATATAATTAATTAAAATTATTATTTTTAATTAATTAAAATTTATAAATCAATTATTATTAGTTAATATT